CCTCCCCAATCCATCCCACCCCGTGTGCCCCCCCTCTCTTACCCCGAGAGCTCCTGGTGCAGGGGTCTCTTTGTGCCCGGCTTTCCTGCCCCTCCAGCTGGATGGATATTTCCTGACTCTTGTTTATTTGTATAAATAGATGCTAATTTATGCTCCCGCCGTCTTCCTCCTTGTACATACAGAAATTCCTTGTAAATAGGCGTAGGAAGTGACGCTGTGCGCGTGACCTGCTGTGCTGTGGCCGTGGTGGTGCATTTATATATATATATATATATATATTCTGATTTTTTTTTTTGTTTTGTTTCTCTCAGTGTGGTAACCTTGCTTGTGAATATCACTTTTAAAGAAAAAAAAAACCCACCAAAAAAAAAACCAAACAAAAAAAAAACCCCAAACAACCCACCTTCCCCCACACACAACCAAACGACGACAAAACTGTTATTATTATTGAAATAATGAGATTTAAAATGAGAAATTAATTCAATAATCAGCGAGGCCGAGCCAGCTGGAGCAAACCGGCCCCGGTTTGGGCTCGTGGGGGGTGAGCAGGGCTGGGACCGTGGCTGCTTTGCTCCAGGGATTTGGGCTCTCGTGTTCCTGTGGTTCTGTGCTTCTGTGGAGACTGTGAATAAGTGGATATTCCCGTAGCCATGACAGAGCTGCCCTTTATTTATTTTTCCTGGAGCGCTGTGTCTTTATTTTACAGATTTCCCTCTATTTTCCCCCCACCATGATTCCATCTCCCTCCCTTCCCCCTTCCCCCCCCCTCCTCTTTTTTGTGAAGTTTACTTATGGAAGAGTTACACTGTACTGTACAAATGTCAAAAGTGTCAAAAAGAGTACAATTTCCTAAAAATCACTGTATTAAAAGAAATGTTGTGAAGAAATAAACCAATTGCTGATCAGAAGTTCCTCGGGGTCCCTGAGTTGCCAAGAGAGGAGCAAAATTAATTGGATTTTTTTAAAATTATCATCCCCCAAATGGCTCCTGCTGCTGCTGAGGGAGGAGCTGAATCCCCCCTGGGTGTGTGACAGCAGGGACCAGGGCAGAGCATTTAAGGCACAGCTTTAAAAATCAAGTTAAAATAAACAAACAAAACCCCATTCGGGCAATTTTCATTGACACTGGAAATAATTCAGTTCTTGGGTTATGCAGGGAGCATCCAGCTTGCCCAGGGCTGGGAGCAGAGGGATGTGATGGCCCAAACTCTGCCAAAATTTGGCTCCAACCCTCCCCTGCCTCCTCCTGAGCGCCGCAATCACATCCCTATTTATAGAGGATCCAGGTGGCTGCAGCCCCCGCCCGAGCCGGGGGGGAAACAGGAGCTGGGGGGAGTGCAGGGATTTTATCCTTGAGCTGGAAGAGAAAAAGCAGGAGGGGAAGGAGTGAGGAGCTGCAGGGAGAGCAGAGGAGCAGCCAGAGTGAATCAGAGAGTGGGTTTGGGTCGGAGTGAGCTTAAATCCCATCCCTTCCCACCCCTGCCACCTCCCACCATCCCAGGCTGCTCCAACCCGGCCCTGGGCACTTCCAAGGGATCCAGAGGCAGCCACAGCTGCTCTGGGAATTCCATTCCAGGGCCTCACCACCCTCACAGGGAAGAATTCCTTCCCAAAATCCATTTAGTGGGGATCCAGGTGGCTGGAAGGTGCTGGAGGAGCAGCAAGGGCACTGGTTTGCTCTGCGGGCAAATCCCGGAAGAAATCACTTTACAGCTTCTCCTGCAACAAGAGATTGTTACAACCCCAACCCGTGGCTGTAATTAGCAGATGAGTTAATCAGCAGGTGGCGGGGCTGGCTCTGGCCATCCCCTCATTCAGCTTGGGGGGCTCCACAATGCCCAGAAATGCATCTCCAGGCTGCTCTGGAGGGGCTGCTCCCTCTCTAGGCGCCGGCGCTGCTCTGGCTCTGCCGTGGTGGCTCCTGCCCGGAGCTGCGGGGCTGCAAAACACCCAGGGAGCCCGGGGTGAGCTGGGCACTGCCAGCAGCAGCAGCCCAGGGCTGGGAAGGATGCAGAGACAGCTGGGAGCATCCACAGGGGCACCAGGGCTGGGAACACAAATCCTGGGAGGAAAAATTGAGGGAGGTGGGGGTGGCTCAGCCTGGAGAAAAGGGGACTCAGGGTGACCTGGTCACTCTGCACAGCTGTGCCTGTGCCCAGCTGGGGCTGGGCTCTGTCTCCAGGAACTGACAGAGCCAGAGCACACAGCCTGCAGCTGCACCAAGGGAAATACAGGCTGGATATGGGGAAAAAGTGTTTTATGGAAAGAGTGATAAAGTATTGGAATGGTTTTCCTGGGGAGGTGGTGCAGTCACCATCCCTGGGGGTGTTTAACAAAGCCTGGATGTGGCACTGGGTGCCAGGGCTCAGTGTTGGGGCTGGGTTGGACTCCATGACCTTTAGGGTCTCTTTCAACCTGATCATTCTGTGAATTTAGGGATTTTTGGGAATTCCCAGGGACTGGGGAGGTGGTGCAGTCACCATCCCTGGGGGTGTTTAACAAAGCCTGGATGTGGCACTGGGTGCCAGGGCTCAGTTGAGCTGTTGGGGCTGGGCTGGACTCAATGACCTTCAGGTTCTCTTCCAACCTGGTCATTCTGCGAATTTGGGGGATTTTTGGGAATTCCCAGGGCAGAGGGAAGTGGTGGAGTCACCATCTCTAGACACATTTAAGGAAAGCCTGGATATGGCACTGAGTGCCAGGGCTCAGTGCTGGCGCTGGGTTGGACTCAACGGCCTTTAGGATCTCTTCCAACCTGGTGTGATTTCTGTGAATTTGGGGCAATTTTGGGAACTCCCGGGGCTGGCAGGGGCGGGGCTCACCCTGTGTTTGAGGTAGGACAGGTAGGTGTCCCAGCCCAGGGTCACCACGTTGACGTACACCACGCGGTAGGCGGGCGGCACGAAGAGGAAGTTGAGGATCTGCGCCGCCGGCCACAGGCTCCAGTCGGCCTGGGGAGGGACAAGGAGCAGCTGGGGGGCTGCCCAGGCCCCCCCAGGACAGGGGGCACAAGGACAGGGGGCACAGCCCGGCCAGGCCCTCACCTTGTAGAATTCCCAAAATTTCTCCTTCAGCTCGTCCCAGCTCTCCTGGAGAGATTGGCCCTCCAGCGTGCCGATGGCTGCGGGGACAGGAGGGGTCAGCGGGAACTGGGGTGGGAATTAATTGGGGTGGGAATTAATTGGGGTGGGAATTAATTGGGGTGGGAATTGCTGGGAAATGCCCCAAACCCCTCCCAGTGTGGGCGGGGAGGGCAGCGCCGGCAGCATCCCGAGGAGGGAGGTCCGGGAAATGGAAAGGAAAGTGAAAGGGAAGGCACGGATCTGTCTGGGGAGGGGCTGGGGCTGTGCCAGAGGGTGGGATGGAGCAGGAGAGGTTCTGGGAATTTGGGATGGAGCAGGGACAGGTTCTGGGTTTGGGATGGAGCAGGGAAAGGTTCTGGGTTTGGGATGGAGATCAGGGAAAGATACTGGGATTGCAGATGGAGATCAGGAAAGGGTTCAGGGGGTTGTGAAGGAGATCAGAAAAGGTTCAGGGGTTTGGGATGGAGATCAGGGAAAGGTTCATGGATTTGGGAAGGAGATCAGGAAAGGTTCTGGGTTTGGGATGGAGATCAGGGAAAGGATCAGGGTTGGGATGGAGATCAGGGAAAGGTTCAGGGGTTTGGGATGGAGATCAGGGAAAGGTTCAGGGGTTTGGGATGGAGATCAGGGAAAGGTTCAGGGGTTTGGGATGGATCCCAGGAATGGTTCAGGGGTTTGGGATGGAAATCAGGAATGGTTCAGGAATTTGGGATGGATCCCAGGAATGATCTTCCCCCAGAGGGTGCTGGGCACTGCATTCCCCCAGGGAATGGTCCCAGCCCCAGAGCTGCAGCGATGCCTTTTTGCCACACAAACTGTGAGCAGAACCCACCAACACTCCCTGCGAGCTTCAGAGCCACACCCCACCACAACACAAAACCCGGCAAGCACCAAACCCAAACCCTCCGGCACCACCAGCAGCTCCTGGGCTGGGATTTTGGGGCTGGATCGGTGACCCCCCCCGAGGCTGCCACGTACCCATGAAGTACCAGGCTCCCATGCTGGGCGAGGCCACCAGCTGGTCGATGAGCACCTTCTTCAGCACCGTCCTGAGGCTGCGCACGCCCCGCGCCGGGAACGCCGAGTCCAGCCAGAGGTACCAGTAGTGCATCAGGGGTCCCAGGCTGCAGCCCACCACAAACATCCGCCCTGCAGCACCACCACGGGCTTTACAGGGCTGGGGAAGGGGCCAGCAGGGCGTGTGGGGAAGGGGGTGCTCGCTCTGAGGGCAGGGATGGGTTCCCTCAGCCCTGGAAGGGGCCAGGAGAGCATTTGGGGAAGGAATTCCTCCCTCTGAGGGGAGAGATGGATTCCCCACAGCCCTGGCAGTGCCCATGAGGGCATTTTGGGAAGGATTTCCCTGCTCTGAGGGCAGGGATGGATTCCCCACAGCCATGGAAGGGGCCAGGAGGGCATTTGGGGAAGGATCTATGTGGGCAGGGATGGATTTCCACAGCCCTGGATCCCTGTCAGTGCCCATGAGGGCACTTGGGGAAGGATTTCCTCCCTGTGAGGGCAGGGATGGATTCCCCCAGCCCTGGCTCCCTGGAAGGGTCCATGGGGAAGGAATTCCTCTCTCTGAGGGCAGGGATGGATTCCCCCAGTCCCAGCTTCCTGGCAGTGCCCATGAGGGCACTTGGGGAAGGATTTCCCTGCTCTGAGGGCAGGGATGGATTCCCCCAGCCCTGGTTCCCTGGATGGGTCCATGAGGGCATTTTGGGAAGGAATTCCCTGCTCTGAGGGCAGGGATGGATTCCCCACAGCCCTGGAAGGGGCCAGGAGAGCATTTGGGGAAGGATCTATGAGGGCAGGGATGGATTTCCACAGCCCTGGATCCCTGGAAAGATCCATGAGGGCATTTTGGGAAGGAATTCCCTGCTCTGATGGCAGGGAAGGATTCCCCACAGCCCTGGATCCCTGGAAGGGCCCATGGGGAAGGAATTCCTCTCTCTGAGGGCAGGGATGGATTCCCCCAGGGCGTTACCGCCACCCGCAGGCGGAACCGGGCGAGTGTCACGTGACAACGACGACTTCCGTTTCCTGCCTCCGCCATGACGGCTACCGCAGCATAGGAGGCCGCCATGACACCTACCGAGGTACAGGAGGCCGCCATGACACCTACCGAGGCAGCAGCTCGCCCAGGGGCTTGCGGTGGGGCGAGCTGGGGATGGTCCAAGGCATCCCCGCGGTGCCCCAGCCCTGCCCTGTCCCTGACACCTTGGTCTGGGGGCAGCAGAGTGGTTGGGGAGCTGCGGTTGCCTGTGGAGGTGGCCATGATGGGTGTCAGCAGCGCTGGGATCACTGCTCTCCCCACTCTGCTGGTGCCACTGGGGTCCCCCAGGCGTGGGGACGCTGCTGAGACCCTCCAGGCTGTCCCCAGAGCCTTCAGAATTCTTTGAGAGGCTTCCCTTTGGAGCTGGAACATCAGCTCTGTGTCACTTTGGTTGTGGGGGGCAGCAGAAGGGCTGGGGGGACGTTGCTGCTCCTTGTCCTGGGAGTTTGTCACTCCCGAGGACATCCTGGTGGGAACTGAGGCTCTTTGTCAGCCCTGTGGGACATCTGGGACAACTCTGGCTGTGAATTCGAGTCAAACATCCCCTCACTAACAGTTGTTTGTCTGCCAGGATCGGTGTGGGGCAGGCAGGAAGGCAAAAAAACTCACCAGCTTCTAAAAACAGCTTTATTCCAACTGCCAGGAGCCCTGCTCCTCCTCACAGCCCATCCAAACTCCTCCTGACGCCAAGGGACAGGGCCTGGCCAGCCCTACCTGTAGGAATTGGCCTTGTGTTTTGGCAGGAAGGTGAAGCTGGGCGGGACGGGGCCCAGGAGCAGCTCACTGGGAGAAAGAATCAATCACAGAATTAATCCAGAGTCCTCAAAGGCCACCCAGTGCCACCCATGCCACCCACCTCCCACTGTCCCAGACTGCTCCCAGCCCTGCCCAGCCTGGCCTTGGGCACTGCCAGGGAAGAAAGACAACAACAAAACCAAACCCGGTGCTCAGTCCCCAGCTGTCAAACGACCCCGTGGCCCTACAGGGGCTCTGCCACGTCCCTTTTTAGCAACTGGAATGAAATCTGACCCCTCAGTACCTTATTTTGATCCAATCATCCACGTTTTGGCTGGCCATGAGGGTCTCCAGGTAGTCCCTCCCCAGGTAATAGGGCGGCCGCTCGTTGATTTTCTGAGGTAGATGTTCCAATAACCCAACTGGGATGTACCTGGGATAAAATTAAATGTGACAGCACTGAGCGCTGGGGATTAATTAATTAATTATTGTTTAAAGATCCTCCTGGCTGGGCAGCATCACCTGCACAGGAAGGAGAGCCACTCCAGCAGGAATTTCCTGGTTTTCTCCACTCCCTGAGTGTCTGACCCCCAGTGCTCGAGGCCGTAGTTGGTGAAGTCCTTGAGGATTTCAAACCTTTCACTGGAGGAGATATCCCAGTGTCTCTGCTCCTTGATTTCCGTGAAAAGCCAGGGTTTGATGAGTGCCCCTCTGCAGCCAAAAAAAAAAAATTAAAAAATTGTTATTCCCATCACTGATGCTCCTGAAGATCTGAGACACTTTCCAGCACTGATTTCCCAGCCAATTCTGCTTAAAATCTTCTTTTCCATTCCAACAAGAAGCTCCAACTGATACAAATTGATTTCACTGGTTTCCAGAGTGGTTTCACTGAGAGGAAATTCCATGCTTTGGGTTTGTTTAGGGATTTTTTTTTTAATCCTCTTTCTTTTTTTTTTTTTTCCCTCTTGAACCACCAGAGCTTAATCCTCTTTCATTTTTTTTTTTCCCTCTTGAACCACCAGAGCTCGGGAGTGAAGGGAAACACAGGCACTTGCCTTGCAATCATGATTCCAGAAACTCCCATCTGCATGGCTCGATTTGCATCTTCATAGGACAAAATATCCCCATTTCCTGCCCAGAGAGGAGGGAGAAGCCAGAGGTCAAAGAGATCCGTGAGGACAAGTCAAAGTGAGCTAATGCAGGCATGGGATAAAATTCCAAATGGACACAAAGTCCAAGAGCCAGATGGTCCAAAGAGGCTCCTGCTTTGGATTCCCAGGGATGTTTCTGATGGATGTTCCCTTACAAGGGAAAAAGGAGCCTTCTCCTCTCTTCTCCTTCAGTTTCCCTGAAGGTTTATGGATTTTGTGACACAAAATCACAGAAAACCCCCTTAAAACCCAAGTGATTGGTGTCCCTTTCCTCTGGCACCACATCAGCAGCACCAGGTGTGGCATTCACATTCTCTGTAAAATCTCTTCACCCAGGATTCTTCTCCTGGGAAGCTGAGAAGCCTCAGAGAAAAAGGAAAACAATTTTATCTCATTTGCTTCTGCTGTGTTTTGCTGCTTTGGAATGTGGTTGCAGATTGTTTCATTGGGTTCATGTGAATTATTTCGACTCTTTGGCCAATCGGTGCCAAGCTGTGTCAGGACTCTGGAGAGAGTCACAAGTTTTTATTATAATCTTTTTAGCCTTCTGTAAGTATCCTTTCTGTATTCTTTAATATTATACAGTATCATAAAATAATAAATTAGCCTTCAAGAACACGGAACAGATTCATCATTCCCTCCTGCCACGAGGAACCCCAAAAATCCAATACCCAGTGATGCTCCAACCTTTCCCCCACGCTCGGGAACATGCTCTTTCCCCCAATTTGAAGAGATTTGAGATGAAAGAGGTGCCCAGGGAAGCCCCACGTACCAAAGAGAGGCATGGGGCTGGCGAGACGGGCGCACTCGGCGATGTAAGGCCAGTCGGCGCTGCGCGTGTACCGCTGCTCCCGGGAGCGCCCGTGCAGCTGCGGAGAGAGCAGGGACACCTCGCTGCACACAGGGAGGGGACAGGGACAGCGGGATGGGGAGGGGAGACTTGGGATGGGCCTCAGGATGGGCCCCGGGATGGGCCTTGGGGTGGGCCTCGGTATGGGCCTTGGGATGGGCCTCGGGATTGACCTCGGGATGGGCCTTGGGATTGACCTCAGGATGGGCCTCGGGATGGGTCTCAGGATGGGCCTAGGGATGGGCCTCAGGATGGGCCCCGGGATGGGCCTTGGGGTGGGCCTCGGTATGGGCCTTGGGATGGGCCTCGGGATTGACCTCGGGATGGGCCTCGGGATGGGTCTCAGGATGGGCCTAGGGATGGGCCTCAGGATGGGCCCCGGGATGGGCCTTGGGGTGGGCCTCGGTATGGGCCTTGGGATGGGCTCCGGGATGGGCCTCGGGATGGGCCCAGCGATGGGCTCCGGGATGGGCCTCGGGGTGGGCCTTGGGATGGGCCTAGGGATGGGCCCAGGGATGGGCCTCGGGATGGGCCTCGGGATGGGCCTGGGATGAGCCTCGGGATCAGCCTCGGGATTGACCTCGGGATGGGCCTCAGGATGGGCAGGTGCTCAGAGCAGAGCTGGGGAAGGGATCCCTTGGGATCCACTTCTGGATTTACAGAATTCACAGAACGATCACAGAATCACCAGGCAGGGGAGAAGAGTTGGAAGAGACCTTCAAAGTCACCAGGTCCAACCCAGCCCCAACACCTCTACTAAACCACAGCGCCCAGTGCCACATCCAGGCTTTGTTAAACACCCCCAGGGATGGTGACTGCACCACCTCCCCAGGCAGGGGAGAACTTTTTCTCTCTTTCAGTGAGGAAAAGTTCCAGAACTTTTCCAGAACTTTTCCACTCTTTCAGTGGAAAACTTTTTCCCAATATCCAGCCTATACTCCCCTTGGTGCAGCTCGAGGCTGTGTGCTCTGGCTCTGTCAGTTCCTGGAGAAAGAGGGATGGGATCAGCTTTAAGGTCCCTTCCCAAACCATTCTGGGATTCCATGATCATGGACCCAAGGCTCAGGAGCAGGGAGGAAAACACCCTCTGCACCTGAATTTTCCTCTTTTATTAGCAGAGCACACTAAAAGGCAGGGGAAGCTCATCCCCATCTATCTCCAGCCACCAACCCCACCCATCTGCCCCCGTACCGTGACCATGGCTGCGCCCCACTCCCGGATCCTGGGGATGATTTTGTGAGCCACGTTAACCTTTTCCTGCACCCCGGTGCGGATCTTCACCGTCAGTGGGACGTCCAGCACCTGCAGAGGTGGGAAGATGAGGCCAGGCTGGACTGGGCTCCACCAGCTCAGCTCCAGGAGCTCCGACTCACCGAGT